TTTTTTTTTTTTACCATTTCCACTGCAAGAAAAAACAAAACAAAACAAAAAAAAAGGAGTAATAAGCTCACTGTGCTCTACCCCAATATGATGACGATGAAGGCGATTCATCCAATGTTGTCTTCTTCCGTAGCTCTAACCATGGCAGCATCAGCTTCTTGCATTGGCGTAAACATGTCAGATACAGCCGATATCACACTGACTTATCTCACGTAGTGCCACACAAGAATATGAGCTTTGCAAAAGATGGAAGAACAAACCAGTTCGAGCATCGGACCAAAAAAAAAAAAAAAAAAAACTGAACACGAGAATACAGTCTCACGAGTCTACCAAACAAGTAGATCTCACCCCCACCATCCATCCAGCCCACAGTCAGAGACGACCTCTTCTCCTCTACGCCTTTCAACAACCCCACCGCGAATATAATATCGTCAAAAGATTACAAAACTGCTTTGGAGACTGCATAAAAAATGGCCCCCATTCCCCCCCAAAAAAAAAAAAAAAAACTTTCGTGACTGCACAAAAGTCGCCCCACCCACCAGATGGGAAAAGTAGGGCGCAGTCGCGGTATCAGTTTCAGAATGCAGTCTGGGAAAAACGCTGAAAATGCGGAATGTATACAATCTAGCTTTAGGGTCAGGTGCGGGTGTGTTACGTTTGAGGGATGCGTGGAATGCATTTTGAAACTGTCATCGTGGCCGGCGCAAAAGCTGGCCTAAACCAGGGGATTCATCACGCAACAGCTCCATGAATCTTCCTCGTACCTTCCTATGTGATTAGGTTCTGCGGCTGCTGCATCTTGACCGTCACTCATCGTTGATCGAAGACGAAGAGTCACAAAACTGCTCTACCTCGCGCCTAAGTACTACCTTCAGGAGGACTAAAGAACCAGTTTCATCAGCCAGCAGCTGGATGATGGAGACAAGAGTTCCTCATGCCTTGTCTCCTTATCTAGCTATCAACCTTAGGCTACTACTATTATGCTTCTTATTCCACTACGTTCTCTGCCTGCTGCATCTTGCCTGTCACCTATCATGGATGGAAGACTGAAGTCACAAAACTGCTGTACCTCGCGCCTGAGTACTATCTTCAGGAGGACTACAGAGCCAGATTCATCAGCCAGCAGCTGGATGATGGAGACCAGAGTTCCTCATGCCTTGTCTCCTTATCTAGCTACCAACCCTAGGCCACCATTACTACGCTTTTTCTTATTCCACTAGGATCTCCAGCAGCCGCATCTTGCCTGTCACTCATCCTTGATGGAAGACTACATAGAGTCAGGAAACTGCTGAAGGTAGAAGTAACCCCCCTCTAGAGTGTCCGGAAGGAGAAGACACAGCTGTAACAACAATGCTGTCTTTCGGGCGATAAAACCTGCTGAATTCAAAGCGACACAGCACAAAAGATCCGAGTGTACAGATCCTTCGGGACATCCGTTAAAATTGGAATGGCACAGAGAAGATTAGAATAGGCCCTGCGCAAGGATGACACGCTCGGTCCAGCTAGCTAGGGACCCCTCGGGACCACCATCGCGATGACCAGGCATGGCTGCGTAGCACGAGAGCATCCATCCAGTCCCTTACCGCTAGGTACGCCTCGGAACCACCCCCTCGGGACCACCTAGGGAGCCCTCGGGACCACCATCGCGATGACTGGGCCTAGCGACGAAGCGAGCGGAGGTGGCGCCAACAGTGCAGCGCAAGAAATCAGAATCAAGCAGGTCCAGTCCAGCTAGGAACAAAGCGGCCTGCCATCCATCGAAAATGACGACACGCATATGTTGCCACGTCATGATGGAGACAAAAAGGCCTGGCATTAATCCCAGTCGAAAAAACAGGTCCAGCTGGGAGCAAAGCGGCCTGCCATCTATCAAAAATGACGACACGCATAAATTGAGAAACAGCCCTCGGGACTACCATCGCGATGACCAGGCATAGCTGCGTAGCACGACAGCATGCAGTCACTCACCGCTGGCCTGGCGACGTAGCGACCAGAGGTGGAGCCAGCAGCGCAGAAAAGCGCATGACATCAGAACCAAAAAGGTCCAGGTGGAGACAAAACGGCCTGCCATCCATATAAAAACGATGACGTGTCTCCGTGGACAGCATGACGTGGCAACAATGATCTTCGTCCCACCATGTGTCATACCCAAAATGCAAGCTTCGCTTCCCCTCCCTTAAGTCCCTCCTCCTCTTCCTCCCATGTCCTTCCTTCGTCTCTCCCATTGGTAGCAATAGGTCAGTTCCTCCCTTCCTCTCTCCCATTGGTCCAATAGATCAGTTCCTCATCTCTCCCGTCGGTCCCAATACACAAGTTCCTGTCCTGGTCCCAATACACAAGTTCCTGTCCTGGTCCCTATACACAAGTTCCTGTCCTGGTCCCAATACACAAGTTCCTGTCCTGGTCCCAATACACAAGTTCCTGTCCGCGATTGGTCCCAATAGACCAGTTCCACCTCTCTCTCGTTGATCCGAATCAATCAGTTCCTCCTCTCTCTCTCTCTCTCTCTCTCTCTCTCTCTCTCTCTCTCGTGTATCCCAACAGATTAGTTCCTCCTCCATCCCTTCCGTCCCAATAAATCAGTTCCTCCTCTGTCCCTTCGATCCCAATAGATCAGTTCCACCTCCCCCCCGTTGGTCCCAATAAATCTGAGTGCCGTCCGTGCCAACAGATGAGGGAAACAAACCTGCATTGGAGACAATCCCCACCCACAGACCAGTAGGCCACGTCCTCCTCCCATGGGGTTTCCAATATATGAAGGGGACCGACGTGCGGTAATCACGATAGCGACCTACCGACCCACGCATCGGCTCCACCTCCCATTGGTCACAACAACAATAGATCACACTCGCCCGTCCCAATAAATGAGCTACACAATCCCTTTATAAGAATTATACAGACGTACCTCCGTCCCTGTCACCCCCGCTCCCTCCTTCCCTCCCCCCTCTCGCTCGAGTAAATACCTCCCATCCTCCCCCCCCCCCCCCCCCAAGCTCTCGGTCGTCCTGGTTCACTTCCCCTCCTGCTCCGCTTCGATCAGTAGCCGATCGATCTCCTGGTTCACTTCCCCTCCTGCTCCGCTTCGATCACTAGCCGATCGATCTCCGGCCTCCCTCCCCCTTCCTCTCTCCCTCTCCTCTCAATCACTCCCACTCCTCTTCCCTCCTCCTCCTCTCGCTCTGGTCCCAATCAGGCCTTCATAGCACTACTCTTGCTTGCAGTCGTCATGCCACTGCATCATTCATATGGCCGTTGACGTTACCATTTGAAGCCAATCTACGGCCACAGGCCGTCTAAATCGGATCGGGCTGGACTCGAATCGGATTGCGTTGTCTTTTTCACCGCTGCAGAGGAAGGATCGACATTCCGTGCATGTCCTTCCCCCTTCCCGCCTTCAGCGACCTGAAAAAAGCGCCTCCGATCCCGTGAACGTCGCGGTTTCCCCAACTCATGAGAGTCTGTGCACATCGTTCTGAGCATGTCCTTCTTCAACTCATGAGAGTGTGCACGTAGTTCTGGCAATCACCAATCCGACGTGGCAGATCTGCATCTGTCTCCCCTCCTGTCGTGAACTGTCGTCATTCTTAATCAAGCAGATCGAACCAAGAAATAATTACAAAAGAAAGTAATAATCGATGACAGCATCATCTAATTGTCATCACAGCATGACAGAATCAGCAACGATGTGCGCTACGCGTACCTCTCTCTCCCTGCAACAAAGTGGATTTTCAAGAAGAAAGAAAAAGAAAAGATGGTGGTACTTCCTCCCACTCATAGCAGTCGGCTCATCCCTTCATTAAATAATTAAAGAAAAACGGAAAAAAAAAAGCCCTAATTCCTAATCCATCTCTTCCATCATCTGAGGTGCATATTACTCTTCGTCACACCTGTAAGGCCCGCCTTCAACACCACCACCTACACACGACCATGCCATGCCATAATAGAGCACTCACCTAATTTGGAATTATATAGACGTAAATAGGGCACCTACCATACAAATTCAGCATCGTACTCACCCTTCATGCAGCGCTTCATGGTGACATGCAGATCTTTCCTTGCGGCCTGCAGTGCTCTTAACCCCCCCCGAGTCAGATAGCCGCAATACAACAGAGACAGAGATCGCAAATTCGGCATCCCCCTGCCAATCACATCCAGAACAGCATCTGTGACTTGAGCTCGCTTGAGCACCAGGCATTCCAAATTAGGTAAGTGCTCTATTATGAATCGAATGTCATCAATATCGATCTTCAAAACCTCACAGCGAACCACCATTTGCACTTCCGTACATCGTACGGCTGACACGTCAAGGTACAAAGACACTAGGTTGGGAAAACCAGATATCAAAACCCTAACCATTTCGGTGAACTCTTCTCGGGAACGCTCTACCCAAATTAAGAAGAAGAGGTGGAGGGATCGAATACGACGACAGCCCTGAACAAACCGTTGGATCGAATCGATCGACGGCTCAAATAATTTATTGAGTAGAGTCAAATCACCTTCCTTTACTTCATCGATCTTGACCTTTTCAAGAAGCGGGCACTGCGCGCCGATGAACTCTAGCAACTGATCACTGCAAAATCGGATTGAGAGGCTCCTCAGCTGACCCCTGCTGCGCACAATGACGGCTCTCGTTACTTTCCCGGAGATCTTCGTCTGCACGTCCATTAGATCAGCTTCTGTCCAACAGCCAGGATCTAAAGACGCACGGCGCCATTTCTGGCACACGCTTCCCGCTCGAAACCTTTCCCGAACAGGAAGGAAGCTCAGGACAACCGCAAGCACATCCGTTTGCAGACTTGACCAATCGGGTAAGAGCGGTGGTGGTAAATCATCGACCTTCTCCAAATTGCCGCAGGCTTCAAACCTCCTACCGGTAGCCATCGCCATGGAACCTTGCGCCTGATGGCTCTTTCCTTTCGCCTTCCCTTCTCCCCTCCCCTCCTTCCGTACATCTCTCCCTTCCAATGTACTTTCGGGCCCTCTCTTGAACCCCCTCTCTCTGCCTCTCACACTCCCACCATGCTCCCCCGCTTCATAATCCCTCCTTCCCTCCATAGAATTTTGACTAAGATCTCTCTCTCTCTCTCTCTCTCTCTCTCTCTCTCTCTCTCTCTCTCTCTCTCTCTCTCTCTCTCTCTCTCTCTCTCTCTCTCAATACCTCCTCGTCGCCATGGAATCCGGTCTCATTCGCTCTCTCGCTCTCTCGCGATCTGGCACTCTCTCGCTCTCTCGCTCTGTCGTTCCCGGGCGCTCTGTCGTTCTCGGGCTCTCTCTCGCTCTCTGGCTCTCTATTGCTCTCTGGCTCTTTCTCGCTCTTTACCTCCCCCCTTCGATAGCCCTCTCTCGTTCTCGGGCGCTCTCTCGGTCTCTGGCACTCCGCTCTCTCGTTCTTGGGCGCTCTCTCGTTCTTGCTTTCCAACCTTCGATAGCTCCTTTATGTCCGCGTACATTCTGCGGAGTCAGCCTTGAGATCTTGGCCGTAATCCAACTGACGGGCCCACGCATTTTAGAATCATTGCATTCACCCAAGGGCCTACCGATACCTCAGTAAGTACCCTCATGAACTGTTAAAATGCGGACCTAAGCTCGAATCCAGCCGTGGAACTTCGTTGAGTAGCTCAACGATGATATCTCGAAAACAATCGAAAAATGAGAAAACAATTATTGCATTGTCGAAAAATGAGAAAACAATTATTGCATTGTGCTGATATGATCTGTTGATTCGAGCTTCGGTCTTTATTTCAACAGTTTAGCTGGCCACTTGGTCGGCCCACGGTAATGACACTTGGGTGGGAAGGTTCTCACTCAAGAGCCCGCGGAAGGATAATCACACAGACACGAGATCCCCTGTATACTCAGGCAGAACTTAGAAAACTGATATTTCCAGCCTTGTAGGGTCCCACATGTGACCTACCCTGAAACCCCTATATGGTAGATCAGATGATAGTTTCCCCTTCCTCCTGGCGGGTGCTTTGCCCTTGGTGAACAAGGACACTGGTCTCGGGAGTGTCCCTACCCACGCAAGGGTGGGTATCCGTTGCCACGGGGGCGGATGCCGAACCTCTTCTTGTGCTACCTGCTGGGGATTGGCAAGCAGGTACATCACAGGCGACGGCTCCGGTTATCTTTCGATGTACTCAGCTTTGTCTTGAAATATCATTCGCGCGATTGGTCGCATTTTTTTACTTTATTTTTAACATAATTGTATTACCATAAAGAAAGTTGAATCGGGGCCGGCGTCCCCACAATTCTACCCCGTAGTCCTGGAGCCATTACCTAGTTCCAACTAAGCTGGAAACCGGGTCCAGCGTCCCTTTCAATCCCTGAAGGTGAAGAATAGGTCCAATGCGTTGCTGTCCAAAACTTTCCTAATTCAGCGTGTGCTGGAAAAACGTCCCTTACACTTATTACAACTGAGGAGCTGCCCTCTCAGCTACCGCTGTCTGAAATCACCTTCTAACCTAGGCTGGCCTGTCATTCCGGCCAGAGCCAAGCTGAGATTAACAACTTACCTTCTTCGTTGATGATCGTGAGGTATCCAAAGTATCCCATTATCTCTTGAGGCTGCTTGGTGAACTCTACGGTGCCAATCTGCCCAAATAGTTCTGCGAATGTTTGCATGAATTGCAGCTTTCAGCGCCGGAAACCTAGCAAATGCAGCTTTCAGCGCCGGAAAATCCTCTCCTCTGAAGGCTGATGCATGCCGACTCAACCAGAGTTCCCAGCAAATGATAGCTCTGATTATCTGGGCTATATAGCCAAGACCTTGGTCAGGGTTGCAATCTGCTGGCAATATACCTTAGTAGAATCCATTCTTTTGTCCAACTGAAGTTGATATCAGCACTCTTTTCCCAATTATGCTGCCACCATCCCCAGATGCTAGCTGAGAAGGGGCATGTGGTCCACAGGTGATGTGTGGATTCTCATGCCCAATCACAGCGGGAGCATTTGGGTTGTATTTTGACATTTTTTTCCAATAACCAGACTGCTGATGGGATCACTTGCAGCATTTGCAGCCACAACAGGTTGGCGTGCTTTTGAGATGGGAGAATTCGCAGTAGAGACCAGAATCTGGAAATCTCTGAAGGTTGCTTGTGGGCTGCCCTTGTTCTCTTGAGTCTTTGCAAGGATAATTGTGTAGGTGAAGCATAGTTTCTTGTTTGAAGAGATTTCAGCCCTGTTTTTGTGGTGTACTGATCCAGGCTAATGTGTCTCCCTCTGTTATCAGTCCAACCAGCACAAAACGGATCGAGTTTCAGAGACATGATTGACTTGAGTCGTTGATAAGTCATCAATAGTTTCTTTCCAGATTGAAAGGTTTCCGACACTCTGACTTCTGTGATTGTCCAGTGAGCTGGCCAGTCAAAGCTTTCTTTGAGTTTCATGTATAAAAGATTATCCCTGCCTCCGTTTCCATTCTTCCACTTGGCGAACTTGATTCATGTCTACTCCAGTTACCTTCCACAATACATTATTCGTTAGCTCTCTCTCAGGCTTGTACCATAGCCCAGGAGGATCTGCTTTCTGACAGTGTGAGAGAAGGTCTTTCCATTCCTTAGGAATGACTTCAATCAGTTCGATCCTTCGCTGTTCCACTGAGTTGAGTCTTCCTAACTTTACCCTCAGTTCCTGTTCGCTAAGCCAATCTTTGGAGTCTTCGTTCCAAAGATCTTCCACTCTCAGTACCCTTCTCTCAATCCATTTTCTCCCAAACGTAACCCTGGCGTTGGAGGCCACAAAAATAGTCCCCAAATGGTCTGTTATCTTCTCATTTTCAAATATGGGTTGTCTTAGAACCTCACTTCTAGAAGTGGGGTTTGTTAGTGACCGTGGTCTGATTTTTTCCCATGCAGCCCAAATGTTAGCCCAGAATTCGGATTTGCGTCTTCGCCTGGTGTAAGAGGGTAGCATGGCACACAGCCATACATCTGATGGTCGAGCCAGGTTCCAGTTGTCACGTAGGATCTGTTCTGCCATCAGCACCCAGTCCCTTGTTTCAGTGTCTAGTGCCACTTTAACTAATCATTTAACCAGGAGTGTCTAAATGTGATCATCAGGGTCTAATATTCCAGGTCCCTTGTTCTGCTGATGGTTTCCACAATTGCCTTGCCGCATCACATCGAATTGACTTATATGCTTGTTCTCCCAGTCCCTTTACAGCTTCCGCAAACTACAGCTGGGAAAAGGACATAATAGTTATGACCAGTGTTTTTCCAAATAGTGACAATGATATCGTGTTTACCAATCTTTTCATACTTGTTGCAACTCTTTCCACCATTTTTGCGTCATGTAGCCTCGTCGTTCTCGTCAAGGAGATCTGGACTCCCAAGAAGTGTTCCGTTGTGTCTGCCGGAACTTTCTTCATACCCCATGAAACCGCCAGCTCGTGCACCGTGGGGAGGATATAGACCAACTTATTCCAATTAATGGATGGCATTGCCTCAGATGCGTCAGAGAATGTTAATAGAATGGAGCGAAGTTTTGTTAGATCTGTAGTAGTATTAGAGCATATTGTGAGTAGGTCATCTGCCAATGCTCCACCTTTGCACTGGTGGCCCCCCAAAGTCAGACCTCTAATTCTCGGATTAGTTTTTATGTTGTTCTTCAATACTTCTATTTGGAGTACAAATAAACGTGGTGAGAGGAGACATAATTGCCTCAGTGATCTAGTTAGTTTAAATGTGGATTATATTTTTCCATTGACCATGACGGCCGCAGTTGCATGAGTGTATAATGCAAACACCCACCTCAGGAACTGCGGACCGAAGTTCATGTGTTTTAGAGTGACTTCCACGAATGACCAACCTACTTTGTCATAGGTTTTTTCAAGGTCCAAAGCCAACATTACCATATTCATGTTACTTGCACTAATTATTTCTAATGCTTCTACCGCCGTGATAATATTGTCAAAGATGGAGTGTTCTTTGACAAAGGCGCCTTGTTCTGGTCCCACCAATTTAGGTAGAAACAACCCAAGTCTGATTGCTATTGTTTTAACCAACGGTTTATATGACACATTGAGTAGTGTAATTGGACGTCAGTTTCTTATTTCATGTTTTTCACCCTTTTTATACATCAAGGATATGATTTCTTTAGTCATTCTACTTTATCATAGGCTTTTTCAAGGTTCAAAGTCAACATTACCATATTCATGTTACTTGCACTAATTATTTCTAATGTTTCTACCGTCGTTATGATATTGTCAAAGATGGAGTGTCCTTTGACAAAGGCGCCTTGTTCCCGTCCCACCAATTTAGGTAGGAACAACCCAAGTCTGATTGCTCATGTTTTAGCCAACAGTTTATATGACACATTGATTAGTGTAATTGGACGTCAGTTTCTTATTTCATGTTTTTCACCCTTTTTATACATCAAGGATATGATTTCTTTAATCATTCTAGTTGCTAAAGGTTTGTCAATTAGAATGTCATTGTAGATCTTTAGAAGTCCTGTAGCAAGTTCGGGCCAGAATGTGGAGTAAAATTTCACCGGTATGCCATCTTCTTCTGACAGTTTGCCTAGTGTCATTTGATCCTTGACCTTCGTCAGTTCTTTAAGGCTAATTGATTTGTCCAGGTGTTCTTTTTCCATTTGGGTCAAGGCCACCTTGGTCGCTTCCCAAAATGGAGAGAAGACTTCAAATTCTGGGTCTGCTTTTAAGGGTGGTCTCCTTGATGTTAAAATGTCATGAAAATAGATTATAGCGTGTTCGCACATCCCCTCTAGAGTTGCGGTCATAGGGACCTGCCTTGAGAAGGGATGTGCCAGCCTTTTCATCAGAGTGTGTTTCCTTGTTGGTAGGAGTCTTTGAAATTGTTCCTTAGTGACCTTGTCTGCTGTGATTAATTTTTTAATTTTAACTCTCTCTGTCCATTTTTCAATTTTTTTGATTTGGATGGCTTCCCATCGATTCATGTACTCGGCCCTTTTCATTAGCCAATAGGCTTCCGAAATGGGGTGCCCATTTGCTTTATTTTCTGTATCCATAATCAATGATAGGTWTTCCTRTT